TTTTCTAGTTTTAAGTGAAAGCATGTGTTTCTTCTTATATGTTGTATGTATATTTTTTCCTCTCGTCATGATTGATGACATCACTCGAAACTGGTAACGATATTTTACATTAGTATAGTATAAATTTCGTCCTTTAATTTAATAGTTACAGTGGCTAATAAATAAAATGCAGCATTATTTACAGATGTATATTAAATGCATATTATTTTAAGGAATAATGTTTCCCCAAACGAAAATATTTATATAATGAACAAAAAAGAAAGAAACGGAAAATGTTGCCATTATTTTAAAATAAAATATCTTCCGGAAGAAATTACATACTTTTGAGAAATATAGTATAAAAAATAGTTAAAAAGACTATTCCTTTAAGAGACTAAAAATAAACCAAATGAATAAATTACTGTTAAAGATTTACAAAAGGAATTAGCCAAAGAATGAATCCTTTAAATAATTAATGATTATATCGATTAATTATTAATTTTCAAATATATGACATGCGTGACACATAATAATTTTTGAGAAAGTAATAAAAAATATAACAAGCAGAATATTCTGCATACAATAGATGCATAATAAGAGACCTGAAAAAAATGTGGAATGTGAGGGCAAACAGTTGGTGGAGACCTTGACTCTGAAAATGTTTCATGGCGTTAATTATTAGGTACAAAGCTGACCCTTTTCCTTTTTTTTGCACGAACAATTAGATAGGAGGGTACATGGTGGTGGGAACAACCGAGATAATATACATTACGACAAAATCCTCGAAGCGTTACGATCCGAGTTAACTGGGCTAACAGTTCCCATGGACTGTAAAAAATGCGATACTCGAATGCGATATGTAGGATACTGCAAACTTACTCGAAAAAGTAGCCTTTAGGTACTCGCAACATTTTTTCTATTTTTACATTGTGATTCAATGAATTTTATTCTTACATAATTCAATTACTTAATATTATTAGAAAATTAAATTATATTCTATAAATAACTTCTCTATATAATGGATAAATTCTTCGCGAAAAATGTACATTACTACTTATATATGAAAGAAAATTCGCATAAATTATTACTTTCTTTACTGCTTTGCAATATATTTACTGTACTTCTTCGTATATTTCTAATTAAAGCTATTTTAGCGACGTATTGCAAGTGAATGTAAATCTTTATCCGACATTCGATAAAACGTAATAGGCTCATAAAATTGATTTATTACACTTAACTACATATGAGTAGAGTACATGACTAAGAAGCCGCTAAGCTTTGCAGAAACCTTGACTTATTATATCACAGTCACCTTGTAAGTCTTCTATCAAATATCTCGCGAGTATTCGCGCGAGGAATATGTCTTTCCGTTCTTCGTGAGAAAAAATGTTTAAATTTGAAACACTCTGTACATCGTGCAAACACGCGAGATTTCGAAAGCAACAGCTTTAACCCTTTCACGCGCGGCACGAAAATTTGCAATAATTTGCGCAAGATAGATTGCTTTTTCACGTGACTATAATTACCATTACATCACGATGCTTTGGAATCATGTTATCGCTACGTTTCACATTTTTTTGAAAAATCATTGTCATTTTTTCTTTTAATAGAGATTTTTAAAATAAATTTATCGTGCTATTTCTTCCTTTCTTGATTTCTTCAATCATTATGTTCGCGAGTTTGTAAATATAATTGGGATGCGCTGAAGAGAGAGATGTTTGTCGAGGATTAAAATATCGACCGAGCTGTTTGCCCTCGTCAAGATGATGCACCGACTCTCGTTTTCTCTACAGAACAAGGAACGTCACTGTGCGCGATGCATTCTGCTTCTCGGCACGTGCGTTTTTGCCGCAGGCTTCCGGTCCAGTTTTTAACCCCGTCCTCGTCCTCGACTCTCGTCGACCGACCCTCCGTTAAAAGCTGAATGCACTATGAGTTGAAACCTCTTTTGACTTTTTTCCAAGAGAAAAAAGACATCGACAATATCGTAGATGTTACGTAGAACAATAATTCTCGGCAAGAAAGTGTATTCGATATATTTTTGTTAATATGGAACCTAAATAAATAATATAATTATATTTTTCATTCAGCTTTTATATTAATTTTTATTTTCGACTCTTAGACATAATAATTTAAAATAAATATTAAAATTATATTACTGACATAATTTGAACATTACCTATTTATATTTCAGATTTAATGTCTCAGTTAACATTTCGATAGACACGGTAATTGTGACCATCAATGATAAATACATCGGTACATTTTAACGTGTCGAGCGCAATCTGACATAAGAAACGCCTGAAACAGAGTGTTCGAAGAAGGTGCATAAGACCCCGAGTAAGGCGAGTAGATGACTCTTTTACGAGAATATATATATATCGTGTGTGTACGCACTTCTCGGGTGCATCTCAGCGGTAGGTGAACCCGAGCACATTAGCGGCAAGCGTGGGAGCCAATATTTACGATCCATATCGAATGGACCACCGACTCTCTTCGACCGCACAAGTACCTTCAGCCTCTTTGAGCAAATAATATACAGGATGCTCAAATACCCTTTTCTTTCAATTAGAGTCTTATATATATCCTAACAAATACTTGTTTTCCAGTTGCGTATTCAATCTCGATTTCAATTTATTTTATTCAATTCAGTTTCATTTTATTTTTTTTTGTTTTATATTTTATATTTTATATTTTATATTTTGTGTTCTGTTATCTTATGTAAAAATAAATTTCGGTTAAATCAGCTGGTTTTTTCATATGTTGTAGCTTTTATGACTTGCTGAACAAGAAATATAATAGTTGCAAAGATAAATAATGGGCAATTACATCCAGTCAAACAACTCGCAAAACTCGAGTGTTTGACTGGTTGTAGAAATCAGTAATTATCTATTATATATTTAGCTTTGAGCCTATTCACTTTTTATTCAGTAATTAAAAAACTACAACATATGAGAAAACCAGCAGATTTTAAGATTCAATTTTCTACGGGATTAGTGCGGGATACTTGAAATATATTTTGGAGAAGTCACATACTTGTGTCTTGGATTTTTTATCCAAGAAAGAAAGGGGTAGAAAGAGGGGATATATAATTATCCGTCTGTGTGAGTTTACATGGTTTATTCGGATTGAAAGTTCTCGCTCTACGAAATAAGCAGAGGTCGGTGCCCGGCCAAAGGACCTCGCATCCTAGTACGAGATGACGACGGGAGTCATTCCACGTCGCGCGTTAAAGTAATAAGGTGGGACAATGGGCCTCCAGAGACACTCTCTCGCGGTGGCGAATTACGCGTCCCACGTTCGCTGTTACCGTTTTACGAGCGAAATAATTTCCTCCGGAATTACGCGCGCGACTCCAGAATTGCACTCACACACGCCCGGAGTCCTCCCATCGCGCGATCCCTTTGTTCGCTATCCTGATGAAATTCCACGCTCGTTCCTTCGCGAAGAAAAAAAATAGAGTTCACGCTGATTGTCCTCTTAGGGTTCTTCATGATCGCCCGATTGCGCAATATTTTCGAGAGAGAAGAGAAGGAAGAAGAGTGTTTTTGAGATTTCAAAAGAGATGGTCAAGCCTTTGCCTTCGTGAGAGAAAAGCCTTTCTTCAAGATCTTCTTGTACAGTTTTGTAAGCGAAAAAATCATTAAAATATTTAATTAATGGATATTTAAAAATAAAACTTGCAAAATTAAAAAAAAAGAATTAATAGTTTATGGTGATGAAGACATTATTAAAATTAGATCCAAAATCTTCTGAACAATCTACATAGTTTTTAATTATATTAATAATTTAAAAGTGCTTTGAAAAAGCATTGGATGAAGACTCACAATAATTACAAAATCAAAAATAAAGATTAATAGAATCTAAAAATACAAATCTTACTATTAAACTGAATTATACAATAATTGAAAATGATTTTAGAAAATATATAATTATAACAATCTATATATAAAACAATTATAATCAGCGAATAATTATATAATATTATACGACTTATCATTTCTAGAAATAATTAATTTACATCCATAGTCTGTTGCACATATAAATAATTAGACGATTCGTAATGTGCAATCAATTATTATCTCGTAATATACAACGTTACGAACAATAATGTTAATATGATATTTTAAGATTAAATAAAATGTAATTATACCGTTAACACTATCCAAGTGTGTCATCGCTGATACTAGTTACAGTCGCTAGTTATAAGTTATAATAACAAGAGTTGAAGAAGAACAGTGTAACAACGAACAGCCGTCGACCATATGGTCCGGAATAGACGAAGAAGATCGGTGAAGCGAAGAAGGAGCGAAGAGAAGAGAAACTGACAGGGAATTTGCATCGCTCCAGTTTAGATTGCTGAGCATTTCGTCGTGCCAGCTTCTTCTTCCTACGCCATAACTGAACATCTTCCTCGCTTCGTGGCATGTAGTGTTGAAAACACGCCTGAGAGACTAATTACGTGACGAGAAACACGAGTTGATACTCGAACACGACATCACGATAAATACCTCATGAAAGAAACTACGATGACAATATTAATCTTCATCCCGCACGTTCGTTGGAATTATTAGGCGTTGCTTGAGGCTTGCATAATTATCATTTGATATAACATGATAATATGTATACGTAATATTTAATTTGATATAATCGTGTCTATTCATTTTCAGTGTCATTATATTGAAAAAATTATATTCTTATAAAATAATAAAGAAATAAATAGTACAAAATAGGATGTTTTTTAATGATTTCAATAGAAATAAAAAAATAAAATTATATCTTACTGTAAAATAAAATTGTATGATAAAATTACATGTTTTATACAAAAAAAATTATAAATTTTAAATTTGTGTATATTTTTACTAATACTAGGAATATATATATATATATATAATTCATAAAATAATTACATAAAAATAAACACACAATTATATTTTTATATGATTATTTGGTGAAGATTTATCAGATACTTTAACGAAGATACAAGTATTAAAAATTGCATATTACTGTTCTTGTTTCAGGCACACGTAGTCTCGGCCTTCGAACAATCACTATCTAACATGACCCAAAGATTGCAGCAACTCACAGCAACAGCTGAAAAGAAGGTAAGAACATTTAAAAATATTGATTATCATTAGAAAAATCAAATTTTTATTATTTTTTATTAATTGGTAAAGATTTTTATTTTGCACAAATTTTCACCAACAATCACTGAATTTGATTTCAAAAATTAAATTAATTAACATCCAATGCACACATATTTCTGTCATCAAAAAGAAAGACAAATATGTGAACGATTTTTTAGGATTCCGAGCTTCAGGAACTCCGAGAAACGATTGAAAGGCTACGCAAGCAGAGTGCTGAAGCCGGATTAAATAACGGTCCAGCTGCGAACAATGGTCGCCGTCATACTTTAGGCGACTCCGAATCTGGTACCACCGGTTGCACCGGCAGCAGCAGCGGCGGCAGCAATCATCATCAAGGTGCATCGATGGCGAGACAGTTGTCCGCGGATAGCGTGACGTCCTTGAACTCGCTGAGTAGCGCCTGCTCGGCCAGTAGTAATCATCACAAGAAGAAGGGCTGGCTACGCAGCTCCTTCTCCAAGGCGTTCTCGAGATCGCGCAAGAATCGACACGGTTCGGTGTCCGATGCCGAAGATTGCAAAGAGAGTCCCGGTGGTGATCTGAGCGCTCCCAACAGCCCTAGACTGCCAACCGCGTCCAAACACGAGTCTTCGAGGGGCCAAGCCGCGAGAAGCAATGGCCAGAAGTCACCCGATCATGAAAATCCTCTGTCGGGAAGTAAGAGTAGCTCGGCTCTATATAAGAAGGAAGACGAGGATGTGGACGAGTTGAAGAAGCAACTGAGGGAGAAAGATCTGGTTCTCACGGATATTAGATTGGAAGCGTTATCCTCGGCTCATCAGTTGGAATCTCTAAAGGACACGGTTATCAAAATGAGAGTGAGTGGACTCTGCACACTTCAATAGTTTCATATTATTTTTTTTTTCTAATATTCAAATCAAATATGTTTACATATGCAAATAAAAATGAGTCCATAATTTATCCCTTTTACATTAATTTATTGCTGTTTCTAGTACGAGATGCTGAATCTAAAGCAGAACAACGAGCGTCTCCAGCGACTGGTGACTTCGAAATCACTCACCTCCTCGCAGTCTTCTCTTCCCAGTGATCCAGATCGACGCTTCAGTATGACCGAAGTGGCATCGAGCGTTGCAGCATTGTCGAACGGCGATGCCAGTTCCACAGCCGATCAGCTAGAAGATCTCAATGTCCCGGTAGAACACGACGTGGTGCCATCGAGCACGACAACTTCAGAATCGGTTCTCGAACAGGACACTGACGGCAAGAGGATTAACGTGGCCGTCTACCTCGGCAGCGAGCGGAATTTCAACTACAATTTAGTTACCGGAAGCGGTTCCGCCGATGGTACCATAGGCGAACCACCTCATTGCGTAATTGCCAACGTGTGCATTAGCAACAAAACCAGCTGGGACGCATTGGATTCTGTAGTGAGACGTTGCTTCAAAGAGTACGTTTCCCGAGTAGATCCTGTGACGAGTTTAGGTCTCGGCGTCGAATGCGTCGCCGCGTATCATCTCGGCGAAGCGTCCAGGTACATGCTTACTTTCAGACTTTTAGAGTGATATAAATTGAAAACTTTATCGAAGACTATATCCTCAAAAATACCCAAATCTCTTGAAATATGTAGTGCATACATTTTAAGTTTTATATTCTTAAGCTTTATCATCTTCTACTTTCATTCATAAGATAATTACAATAAATGTTCTCTTTTCGCGTTATACAGATGCACCACTGATTCTCAGCACCCTGAGCTGTTGCCCTGTGGCTACCTGGTTGGCCACGTAAAGACTATCTATCTAGTGCTGTCGGGCTACTCCTGGCTAGCGGTAGACACCTTGATACCGCGCTCTATCGTCCAACGTTTGATATCTCTTCTAACGGAACATCGTAGAGTGATTTTATGCGGTCCAAGTGGTACAGGAAAAAGTTATCTGGCCGGAAAACTGGCGCACGCCCTAGTAGATGCTGATAATGACCCGAAGGACGCCGCCGCCGTTGCAACATTTAATGTCGATCATAAATCCAGCAAGGAACTGCGCCAATATCTCGCACATATTGCCGAAAGATGTGATTCGAGTGCTGCCGATGAATTGCCCAGAGTGATCATTTTGGAAAATCTTCAGCATGCGGCGTCTCTGGGCGAGCTCTTCAGTGGTCTTCTAGGAACCAGGCATTCCTCGTGTCCTGCCATCATTGGTACCATGAGTCAGGCTACTTGCAGTACCACCAATTTGCAATTGCATCACAATTTCAGGTATGTTTGTTGACAGATGACCTTCTCTGCAAAGCAAAAAAAAGTTTTTAATAATTAAGCATGAGAAATTAAATGTTAAAATTTTAAGTTAATTTCTGTTGAATGAGAACTGGGTTTTTAATTATGTAATTAAACAGGTGGGTACTATGCGCAAACCACATGGAACCAGTCAAAGGATTTCTGGGACGTTATTTGAGAAGAAAATTATTGGAGCACGAATTGCGCGAGTGCGCCGGAACGAGGAACGCGGAAATGGCGGCAGTAGTAGAGTGGCTGCCACGTGTATGGTTGCACCTCAACAAGTTCCTAGAAACCCACAGCAGCTCCGACGTCACCATAGGTAATTGGTGATATCTAAAATATATTTCTATACATCTCAGGAGATTGTAATATCAGATGATCTAATTCAAATTATACAAAAGTTGTAGACTCTTAAGAGCCCCAGCACAAACAAAAATCTCTTCAACAAAATTTTTCTCATTTTTAATTCTCATTTTTTTATATTAATAAAAAAATGATTTTTAATCATTAAATTTCCAGGATACCTATACTCTTGCAATAAAATTCTATTAGTTTTTAAATTAAATTTGCTATTTTTAATCGTCGATTTTCTTGCTAACTTACTTTTCGATTATTTCAAATATATGACAATGATAAATATTTATCTTAGGACCACGACTTTTCTTATCGTGCCCGATGGAAGTAGCTGGCTCTCAAGTATGGTTTACCGATTTGTGGAATTATTCGGTCATTCCTTATCTGGTGGAGGCGGTCAGAGAAGGCTTAACGTTGTACGGAAGACGCGTGAGTGGAAACGGAAACGGTGAACCCACATGGGAAGATCCAGCGCAATTCATCACGTCCAGCTACCCGTGGCTGTCGACGCATGCTGTACACGGCGGCAGCGATGCTCTTCTACGTTTGAGACCCGAGGATGTGGGATACGACGTCGTCTCCAGTGGACATACTTCTGGCGTGGGCGCCTCCAGTGTAAAGAGTCTTGGAAGTACTCACAGTGACACCGAAGGAGATCCTCTGGTTAGCACACAAAATATTATGATTAGAGAACTCTCTTTAAAGCACCCAGATATATATTTCAAATATAAAATTAATGTTCCTCTCCCAAAAAGATATAGTAGAATATCGTTATGTAAAGAAAATTCAGAAACCTATATATAAATGAAAATCTCGAAAAAATTAATTATATTTTATCACGTTATAGAAAAATGTATATTATTATTTTATATTATACTAAGTACAGTATACTAATGAAGAAAAATTATTTCTATTGCTTTGTGCAAAACCATTCAATAGTAAATCTTATAGTAATTGATTTAAATGTTGTATTATACCTTTATTTTTGCAGCTTAACATGCTGATGAGGTTGCAAGAAGCGGCCAATTATTCGAGTCCGCACAGCAACGACAGTGACTCGGTGACATCTCTTGACTCATCGCATACTCGTCACTCGGAGGATTTAAGTAGTTCGACGCGAGGAGTGGAATCGGCACTTTAAATTAGCAAGATATATCGTGAAAAAACTCTGCCGAAAGGTCGAGGCATGCGTACATCGACTGCTCAATAATTAAAAAAGATATAAAAATAAAGATCGATAATTCTTGCAATCATTCTGATCGCCGAAAAAAATTCAGAACAAGAATTTATTTATAAATAAAAGGTAATTATAAAAGAGGGGGATGTATCCTCATCATCAGGGAAAATTCAGTGGAATATCTCTAAGATTAAAAATATCGAAAAAAAATTACAAATATAAATCATACTTTCGAGTCAAGTAAGAGTTCAATTAAATATTTGCGATAATTGGTTACAATAAATATGTTTCGTGTTTATTAAAACCCCTCTAAAACGCGCAATAAAATGAAAACAAATCCCAAAGAAGCGCCAGCTATTTTAAAATCGCAGGATACCAACCAAGAGCTTCAATAACGACCTAAGAGGGATTTAAGATGCCTATTAAAGCTGGCCTATATTTATAAATTTCTACGTGCATTCAGCACCGAAGGTGTGATATGTAATATTAAATGAACATAAAACGGCGACAACAAATAAACGCGTCGACCCCTCGCTCTTTAAAAAATAAGCGAATCGAGAGGATTTAAAATTAAATGTATACAATTAGAATTTGAAAAATTAGTTAAAATTTTTTAAATTTATTTCAAAAGTATTTTCTGCTAAACAAAAAAGAATTTCAAAAAAAACCGTAAAAGAGATTAATTTCTTAGCAAGAGAAACATTAAAATAAATTACAAGTAAATTTCATTAAATTCTTAATTTAATTTCATCATTGCAATTTATTTTATGAAATAATTCTAAAAGCAATAGTAAATAGTAGAAACATCAAAAATTTTATTTCGCAGAAAGAAAACTAAATTCTTTCGGTTCGGCTCATTTTTTTCGGAGTGTAAACACGCGAATACGATGCAATAATTTCTACGCTGCCGTTTGCAGAATTCTATTTTGATGGGACGCATTTTTTCACTTACGACGAGAAACGAGCGTATAATTAATAAAATGAAAGTCGACTCGTCTCGATCTCGTCGTTTGATATATGCAGTATTAATAGTAGAGCGCAAAAAAGAAAAAAAAAGAATGGCTTCGAATTGAGAAATTTTGAAAAAATAAGAGATTTCTCTTTCTCGTCCGATACATATTTTTATGTAAAATTATCTGAACACGGACGGATCTCAAGGACGACTAAATGAACAATTCCCTCGCTTTTAAACAAACAAAATAAAAGCGAGCGAGTTCGAAGCAAACGATCGTGGTCTGTGCAAAGATAGTCTATTTATACATACTTTGCTACGAAAGCTCTATTTAATTAAAGAATGTTGATATATATATATATATATATATATAAATATATATATATATATATATATATATATATATATATATATGTATGTATATATATACACTCATATACCTGAATACGACGATATGGCGCTCTAAATATATTATATAAATATATACATATTTAAAAAAAATAGAATTTTTAACTAGCCTGTAAGGTACGTGAATAATTCTGGTCATGTAACGTTGTAAATATGAGATAAAGCGAGATAGGTTACGCTAGAATGCTGCAAATTCGATTCAAAGTCCCATACAAATGGGCCTCGATATCTCTCTGCGACAGTTTTATCTATCTGCGCTTTCTTATATTTTTTCTAAGTAGTTAAAGTCTAAATCTTCGTCATTTCTTGCAACAAGAAGAAACATTGTATTTTTTTTATTTCATATACATATATTTTTTTAGGAAAATTCTAATCTCTTACATAGAATCAAAAATTCATATAAAAAATTTTGTTAGAAAATAAAAAGTTATAATTATTTATTTCCTTATCAATTTATTTTTGAAGTTCATAGACTAGAAGTTTGTCATTCTAGATAACGCACAATTTCCTAAAAATTAAACAGGTTTAGATATTTTTAGAAAAAAATATAGAAAATAAGTGCATTTTTAATTATGCTAATTAAAAGATTACCGTCGCGGGAGATAATGCGAGATTCACGAAGACTATATATAATGTATATGATTGATGGCATAGTGTTCTCTAATTACGATGAGAGGGAACACGTCAACGTATAATAATACATATATGATAATACAATCGCATTTACAGGTTTTTTTACGTTTGTACCGTATTTATAACGCTGTACGCAGCACTCCAAACTCTATCCAAATAATGATAATTAACTGTGTCATCAAATAAATCGCATTCAAATCTGTCTCGCGCGTTCATCTTTCTCATTTCAATCTCCGCATTTACCTCTTGACAAACCATGAAAAAATCATTATACTTTAAGAAGTTATTTCTAGCGAAAAAAATCATATTTCTCTTTCTCTCGTCAAGTAACATTCTGTGCCAAGATATGATCAAATTTTTAAAAATTGAGAGAAAATATAATAGATATTTATTTTACATAGAGAATGGAGTTCCTAACTATATAAATAAATTTTTATTTGTCAGATATTTAATTTAAAATAAAATATTTTCAAAAATATTAAAATTTCTTTTACAAGGAGTATATTTATATTTTTATATTGCTTAAATTCTTCAAATTTTATTTAATTGTTAATTAGTTAATTCTCAATCTCTCTCTCTCTCTCTCTCTCTCTCTCTCTCTCTCTCTCTCTCTCTCTCTCTCTTCTCTACCAACTTCACTCTCTCACTTCTATTGATTTTTTTCACGAAACATTTCCATTTATGTAAAAATTCTTTTCATTGTTCTAAAAAAAAAATTATCCTCGGGCTACCGATGATCCAGGATCACATTTGAAACATATTTCTTTTTCTTCAGACAGTTCTCCACCACAGCGTAGATGATAAGTAATCTTCTGTCCATGGCACTTAAATGCGCCTCTGTGATCAATGGAAGGACATTCGATATTTCAGCTTCGTGTGCAACTAGTCTACCCAACGCAATGCTTAAGGATCCACCACTGAATAGTCGCAATCTGTCCCATGTAGTTTTATGAATTCTGAAATAAAATTGACTTTTATCAATTTTTTTCCAACTTTTCATAAAATTTCCAAATCTAAACTACCAAAGAGAATACAAAGTTAGATTTTCAATGCAGTTTTAAATGGTTTAGAGATTTTAAATAACTTCAGAAGTAACGTCAAAATTAATTATATTTTATTCTACTTAATTACCAATTATAATTTGTACTCACATGCAACATTGATAGAGAGGCGCCAGAATATCGAGATGATCCACGTCGGGATTGCCTAGGCTTTTTCCATTATCGATTAGCAACACCGCGGGATTATGAAAATTATTTTGTGCGAGTTCATAATGGTGACGATCGCCATTATCCATGAGAAAGTCAAAGATAGCTGTATCGATTAAGTCCAAGAGCCTGCTAGACGATTGTGGCGAATAAGTCTTAGAATCCATTACCTGAAAAAATTCTTAATTTTGCATCTTCAGAGAACATAAAACATCAATCATAAATGCATTTCATAGTGTGAATTCTTTTTGTCTTGCAAGTTGTAATTTTATAATTTTTTTTCATTTTGTGGAAATGTAAAATACATAAATTGTAAGTAATTAAATTGAAACACATCTCATGTCAGTCAAGTAACTTTTAGTAAATAAATTCTATGCTTAATAATATACCTTATCACAGTAAGCCTCGTCGACTTCCCATGCAGCGAGCTTATTCTTTTTGTACGTTCGTTGCCAAGGATGACGGTGTTTGATCAGTCTTAGATATCGTGGAAGCCAAAAATGAGAGCACCTTCGAGTATGTCCCCGATCCGCAAACGGGATCAGCCGGAGAACAATAATGGCAAACTCCATACAGGCATGTGTCATTACCCTCTTGATACATGGTTGCGTATAATCCTGGAGTTGCAATTTCGCGAACTTCCTCTACTAGATCAACTACGAATAGAAATAGAGAGACAAAAATGACTATTAACTTATAGCAGAAAGTTCAAAAACACTATGCTTTTTCTTTATTGGAGATGGATAATTAATAATAGAGAAAGATAATTTAATTGAGATTTTTATCACAAGAACCTGATAGATTGTACTTTTAATTTAATTGAAAATACTATGACAATTCTACTATAATTCAGATTGAACTCTGTTCAATCCCCTTATTTCATTGTATTTCAACATACGTTTTCGTATGACGGTGAGAGGTACTCTTCGCAATGATAGCAAAGATGATAAATAAAAAGCCACCACTTCGGCATTATGTCGGTCCTTGCCTTGGTAGACCGGTCCATGTATGATAGCATCTCTGGAATACCATTGTGGTTTAAATAATGCTTTTATGTCGTTTTCCAGATTAAGCATGAGTTTCAGCTGAGTACCCAATGGAGCATTATCAGCACGAACTACTTTAGACTTTCGCAAGACTTCCAGAATAGTCCCTAATTCTGGAGCTGCTGGTGGAATCAGCTGATGTGCATCTGGCCACTATACATACAATAAATAATTTATACTTTACTATTATTATTAAATTTATTTAAGTTATGTATTATTTGATTAAATAAATGATCAAATTATTCAACATAATAAAACCTTCAAACATTGTAGAAAAAGAGAAAAGATTGGAAATTAGAGTTTATTTCAGATCTGCTAAATTTATTATAAAATAACATAAATTAAGAAATTTATATTATTAAGAAATTTATATTATTAAAAAAGGTAGAATCAAATTATTTGTCTTTAATCTCTAAAAAAATTCAATTTCAAAATTTCAAAATCTGTTATAAGTTTCCAAATTACTCAAATGTGACAAAATATACTTTGGAAAATTTTTCTTACTAACATTGTTATTGGGAATATTCCAGATATCCTCACGAACGTTTGGCATTATCCTCAGCTCAGCCAGCAACCGTTCTAGAATGAGCGTATAGCTGCTATTTTGCTTAAAATATTTGGAAGGTAGTGTGCGAACCTCTTCCTTAATCTTCTCACTAATATCCTTTACAATCGATCTCAATTGAGATCGATCTTGTAGATTCTTTTCATTAGACCTTGAAGATGTAAAAGAGTCTTGTCCAGATTTTGGTTCAGGTAAATTTCTGGAGTAGATCCTTCGCGAGGTGGATGAAGTCTCGACAATCATCCGGATGAAGTAGATGTTCACACTGAGGACTAATATTAGGAGGATGCTCAAAGCAAAGAAGGCGCAACGTCGGCCAATCATCTACAATTTTTATGAACATTAGCAATTATTACATAATTGTGTATATAATAATAAAATTAGATTACTAATTAATTTTATAAAGTACTAAGATAATAATAATTTGTATATTAAGTTAAATTTGAAAGTAATATTTCTTTTTAAGTTTTCATTAATATTGAAATATCCCATCTACTTTAAAATTCTAAAAATTATTAATTTTCAATGTCTTGATTCTTCTTGAAACATTAATTGCCTTGACTATACATCTCAAATTATTTTTACTTAAATAAAGAGTTTAATTTTTACAAATTTACATTCTTAAAACATAACAAGTAATTTTTATTAAATTAAAAATTGACACAAAATAAATTTTATACAAAATAAAAATAAATTTCCCGCGTTACGTGATGCATTTCCTACTTGCAAATGTCACAATTCATAACAATGTTATGTGACGTTGCTCGTTGTTCGCGCTGGTATACTAATTACCATTAATTATAATTAAATGAATATCTTCTCGCTCCATCAAAATCATAATTGCGGCTATAATACAGTATTAACACAATATAAACACAACTTTCGCAACAAAAATTCCGAATTTTATTTGCACGCAAAAATCGATATTATTGGTATCAGCAGGTCCACTCATAGTTTGACGAACAATAACTTTAACTTTTTGATCGCTTTTTCACCTTGCCACGCTGTCACCTGGTGACAAGTGCTTCTCTCATGGTTCATCAACTCGCAGCTTTCAACCGCATCCGGACGTCGTCGCCATCTTTGCTCGCAGTGTCGCAGCGACCTATCTCGATAAGATACGTCACTTTATTCATACAGATTCGATCGTATCATACTGCACACTGTTGCAATGTAATTTGCGCACTAAAAATTAAAATTTTGAATTTGGTTTTATAGAGAAAAATTATGAAAAGAAAAATATATAAAAAAAAATTTTCTTGTTTTTTATATATAAAAGATGTTTAAATAAAATGCAATTGTAAAATAGACATTTCACAATTACAATATGATGAAAAACTGCTCGAAATTAATTTTTTTTATTACATACAATACATAAATTTATACATACAGAATAATCTAATATTTCATAATATGAAAAAACTATAGAAAGCAAATTCAATTTTTGTTCAAACAAATCTTTCGAGACATAAAAATATCACAGGATATATACGGTAAGAGACGGCAGTGACAGTGTGACGAGTTTATTTTATAAAAACATGTAAACTACATATGTGTGAATATAGACGAATTAAACTTAGGCTAATACACATTCTTCCTGCTTCAAAATTACATCCTTCTGTGAACACGCACATGATGATAGATATGCGTGCTAGTGTATGATGGTGGATGGCTCGGTATCACTCTGTCTTAATCCCCATCGTTCATATAAATAATTAAATATGTACACAGTATATGCAGAAAAAAGAAGTTCCATTTTGTCTCATTCTCTTTCCCTTCGTTGCCTTTCACGCTCACGTGCCAGTTCTGTAGCATAGTCATACGGTGAATTTTTTCTAGAATTAAAATAATAACTTTAAAAATTTGCATTAATCCTGAAAAAAATGCAAGAAAAATTTAAATGTAAGAAATTCAAACATGGAAAACATAATTTAGAAACTTAAAAATTCATGCTTTGTTGCAATTATACTGAATTATGACGTTAGAAGTGAAAAATATTGTATGAAAATTTGTTCTTTCTCTTGTAATATCTTTTGTACTTCTCACCTATCCCGATGTCGATCTCTGTCGCGATGACGATCCTTACTCCGATCTCTGTACGACTTGTCTCTACTGCGACTTCTGTAATCCCTCTGTCTTCTATTTCGACTGCCGGATCTTCTGCCGTGTCTATCCCTCTCGCGATCCCTTTCACGTGCTCTATCTCTATCGCGTTCCCGCAATCTCTCTCGTTCTCGATCCCGATCCCTATTTTTGTCCTTGCGATCCTCATCAGATCTGCAAAGAGATACATTCAAACGGAAGTATTAAGACATTGGTTGTCTCGACTGCAAGGTACAATCTATATGTACGCGCGGGAGCTATTACTTTCTCACTTCCTCAATGGCAAACATATATACATATAAGGATAATTTCCTAAGAGTTTTTCCTCGCATTTATGAGTTTCGCCTTGATCTCATTTCCTGACGAGTATCGAAACAAAATCAATGATAATATACATGTACGCAATACTTAAGCAAAGAAATATTAATAAATAACGTGATCGTTGTATTCATACCACGTGGACGCACCTGGCACGCCAGTGGCTCGTACGTTCCGCCTCACCCCACTGAGCCTCATTGTCAGGAATATGTCGGGGCTGTTGGTTGCGCGACATCAGATTACCATTATCCTTATTACGGCTGTCTTTATTGCCATACTTCCCGTGGCTGTTGAGTGTGATCGGTGGCTTTGCGTTACGCGCATTCATCTGCTGCTGCGGAAACCGCTCGGCAAGTCGCAGCTCCAATTCTTTTTGGATCGGAACCGGAATCCGCGGAAACAACGTAGAAAACCACTCGAGTTTTGTTAGAAACTGCTTCAGGATATCGCCCATCTTCATTGTTTGTCCACCGCCTGCCTTTACGTCAAGCTCCTCTTCATCCTCCAGGTAGTCACTATACCAGCTGAACAAGTCTGCTGGTGGTTGCGTATATCTGTAATATAATCGTGATAGACTTATTACTTAAACCATTAGATATTCGTATAAAGAATTATCCAAATTATATTTTTCATTGAAAATTATACGCGACAATAATTTTAATGAATTTTGTATAGAGTCCCTTGCAATATATATTACATCAAGATCAAATCACCTAATATACATAAATCCCAAGGCGCGGATGTAGGGCGAATCCGGATGGTTGATGAGCCCGTTCAGCTGTTTCCTGGTTAGCCTCAGCGTAAAGAGTTTGTACAATAGACAATAAGCCGTGGAGACAATCCCGCCAGCTCCCACGCCTCGTACCTGCATAAACCGCTAAATTTACAAACCCCTCAATCAGTTAAATCATATTTGTCTTACCGTACAACATATGGACCAAATACATGCTACTCTGCAATAAGTGATGCAGTAAAAATTTGATGCAATATGCAGTGATGATAACAATACCAAAACGGTTAAATAAACGCCAATATTGGTAACATTACCATTGCACAAACGAGTGATTATTATTAAAGTTATCTCCATTATCATTAAACTTTTGATACGATATAAGCCTTTGACTTATAGTTTCAATGATATTAATTAAATGATTTTCTTACTATATTGTGATTCCATCTGTAACAAGCGTCAGAACTGTCTCTGCTCCATATCATGTCATTGCATTTATTGTAATATATGATCATCATTCAACAGATCTGTTCTTTTCAGCTGAACTGGCTGTACCAGTTCAGAGTGTATCTTTTTCCTTCCAATAGAGTAAAAAAGATAAATTCTGAACCAAGTACCAGTTCAGCTGGAAAAAAACAGACCTAATGTAAATATATAAATGTGTTATATAACAGACACATTTACATATTATTAATATATATTAATCAGTTTTTACAAATGTAAAAATTTTAACTTTTTATCTTACAAATTGACAATTAAGATACATTTTTTTTCTAAACATTTAAAAGTAACAGGACTATTTAAGCAACATCAAATTTAAAATGTGAAATAGAAAAGGAAAAAGCAAAGACATGTTCTGTTTTGTTTGAAAACCATCTTGCAATAACAATAATCAATATTTCTCTCCACGCGTGGAACGCATCGTTACGTCCAGATCAACGTCAATTATCGACCTGAACGTCTTTCAGCATCAGGAATTTCATCTCTTGTCTGACAATTCGCCCATAAGTCGTCGGTTAGTGCTATAATCAGATTTCCGTGTACAAGCAAATACATGGACGTGCGATTTTGTCTCTTTTTCTCTCTCTCTCCCTCTCACACTCTTTCTTTCAAACCTTATACTTCTAATAAAGACAATAATTAAAAAAAGAAGAAAAAGAATCGAAGAAAAAAATTTGATACTTCTTCTGAGAAAACATACTCACGCCTCCACACATGCCGGTCTGGCCTGCAGTCTTTCTGCTGCCTTTTTCCCATGGTTCTAGATGGGAAACCTTGTAGTAAATTTCATCAATCACCTCGTGGTAAGTCTTGAGCTCATACAGATTCACCTTGAAATAATGCGACGATTGTATATTGGTAAGAATCAAAGGATTCAAATTCATAGTCCTCTCGTTGCCCCATAAAGGTAATACGTTTGACTTTTTGCCTTCCTTCTGAACTGGTTTGCGATCCTCGTCGCAGCCACTGGAATTGTTCCATGGCGAACCTATAAAATAAGAAAACATCTATATATTTCATAGCAAATACATTCACTCGTTACATGTATAAATGTAAACGTCACAAATAAATGTAAACAAAAATTGAAAACTTATGAAAAAAATGTAAAAAAAAAATATTTTAAAAATATATACACACTCCCTTATATTTATATTACATTTCTGTATATTTCCTCCGTTCGAATCTTTTCAAACTAAGTCAGATGCGCCAATAAAAAATAAACAATGCCAAGAAATTAAGTTTAAAGAATTAACGTTGGATGAATGATCCTACAAAAAGATTCGGAAGTACTTCGAGATGTACGCGAAACAAGGTTAAGTCGTCGAAAGAGACACAAAGTCGCGGAGATGATTTCGTGGAAAATAGTATACTGAGTACAATTGGAAACGAAAATTGCAGAAATTATGAGGACGAGAAACATGCGTCTACTCACCATCCGCACCTTCCGCTTCCTGCGTTTGCATGTTCGAGAGATTTGTGAATGAGACTCGTGTTGAGTCTTAGCATCGGATGTGGCCAAGAAGGGTTGTCGAACTCTTTCAGTTTCGAACTGCTTCGGGACCTTCAAGAAAGATTCTCGATGCGTGTCCTTCCGTAAAAGTGACGTTAACTTTTGCGGCGAACAAAAAACAGAAATTACAATTGCAAGCAATGTGTATATAAATATATCTACTTTGTTACGATCACCGTGGTTTTACGTAGATCACATACACACGCACACATATCTGACCTTTGGCTGTAGCCATAGATTGTTTGGTGGACAAGATGTATATCTTATATCTCTGATAGAGTCCTATATAATAAGCACAATTGGCGTCTCGCTCGCTGATTGGCTGATCGCCTGTTGTGCCCGCAACGATCCCATGTGTGCAAACCATGATCCAGATAAAATAATTAATTAATTTACACTGATAAATATGGCCAGTAATAGGGCTAAGGTGCAATGATACGCGGTTTCTAATACTCTCGAAAATTGATTTTTGAATTATTAGGAGACTATATTCTGCGAAGAAGTCGATAATTCAGTTCGCGAGCGATATAAGTGGGAAAATTGATTTTGGAATGACTAGGAAAATATATTTCGCAAAGAGGTATGCGACCGATCCGAAGGTAGTAGGGTGGTGAGAACATCTCCAAATAATGCATCCTGATTGATTAAACCCCGGACCAATAGAAAATGATCACGTTTGTGATTGGCCCATCAAACCACGCCCTCCGCTCCTATTGATCGTGATCCGGCCAATCAACGTCGATCGATTTGTAAGACTTGAAGCTTGAAGCAAACTTCCGGATCGGTCGTATATGTACCTCTTTGCGAAATATATTCTCCTAATCATTCAAAAATGAATTTTCCAGAATATATCGCTCGCGAACTGAATTATCAACTTCGCAAGATATAATCTAATAATTCAGAAATAAATTTTTGACAGTATTAGAAACCGCGTATCATTCCACTTTAATCTTATTACTGGCTATATTTATCAATATATTAGTGAAAAAATTAATAAATAAATGAATATAGACTAGGCTAGACCTAAATAAAACAAATTCAATCGCTGTAAGCGTCATCATCAAAGTTATTAAGGCAGTCGTAAGAAATTGACCTATCACAATCGATTATTTTTGAAATAATCGACTGTGGTTTGTCAATTTCTTACGACTACAGCCTACGACACTCCATTGTAGAAGACCCTTTACTCAGCGCTACCGCGCATGCGTGCGACGATCCGAGATTTGAGGATCTCATGATTCGGAGCGTTTTGGTTATGATGGAACACGTGTCCGCATTTGCTTTTGATACTTCCTAAAATTAAATTGTGTACAATTATATTTCTAGACAGAAATATAAGAGAAAAAAAGGAGTGCTTTTATAACGTTAAGGGCAATAAATTAACAATTTGAAAAATGGCTTTATATAATTTCAAGAAGATTGCGGTTGTACCACCTGCTAAGGTAAATTTTGTTATGAAATTTGATTATAATTGATTGCACGTATATTTTATATTTTTTTGTATTTTCTTATAACATTTTGAATATAATAATTATTTTGTATTTTTCACATAGGACTTTATCGATATAATTTTATCGAAAACACAACGCAAGACACCGACAGTTGTTCACAAGCAATATAAAATCACGAGAATACGTGCATTTTATACGCGAAAGGTCAAATTTACTCAGCAGAACTTTCACGATAGATTATCTCAAATAATACAAGAATTTCCCAAGTTGGATGATGTTCATCCCTTCTATGCTGACTTAATGAATGTTTTATATGATAAAGATCATTATAAGTTAGCTCTTGGACAGATAAATATTGCCAGGCATCTAATTGACAAGTAAAATAATATTTTATATATTATAAATAGATATATACGCAATGTACATGTACATAGTGTAAAACTAATATGATTTGTTTTTTAATTCCAGTGTGGCGAAAGATTATGTTCGTCTATTAAAGTATGGAGATTCATTATATCGATGCAAGCAGTTAAAGAAAGCTGCTTTAGGTCGAATGGCCACTATTATGAAAAAGCAAGCAGCTAATTTAACATATCTTGAACAAGTTCGTCAACACTTAGCTCGATTACCAAGTATAGATCCTTATACACGCACAATAATTATATGTGGTTTTCCAAATGTTGGCAAAAGCAGCTTTATTAATAAAGTAAGTGACTGTTGTTATATTTCTTGTAAGTTCTTATTTTATGTAATATATGATTTAATTTTTAGATTACTCGTGCTGATGTAGAAGTTCAACCATACGCATTCACAACAAAATCCTTATATGTGGGACATACTGATTATAAATACTTACGATGGCAAGTAATAGATACACCTGGAATATTGGATCACCCACTAGAAGAGAGAAATGTTATAGAAATGCAAGCAGTGACTGCTCTTGCTCACTTACGAGCTGCTATTCTTTATTTTTTCGACTTATCTGAGCAATGTGGTCATAGTTTAGAAGAACAAGTAAGTTGCAAGTTACAAAGTATTAGATATCATGATATCTTAACATTAGAATAATTTTGTTCGTATAGGTAAAACTGTTTGAATCCATAAAACCATTGTTTACAAATAAACCTCTGATAATAGTATTAAACAAAACGGACATTATACGTTTAAATGATTTATCCTTGGAAAAGAGAGCTGTTCTAAAATCACTTGAGGATGATACAAACATACCTATGTTAGAAATGAGCACTGTCACCGATTTCGGTGTGATGGAAGTAAAACTAGAGGCTTGTGAACGATTATTAGCTTTCAGGGTTGATCAAAAAATTAAGACTAAAAAGGTAATTTGTCTCGAAAAATCTTTCCTTCCATGTTAGAGAACTTTGATACATAAGTAATACATAATAATTTACAATAATTAATAGGTTGAAGGTCTTCTTAATCGATTACACATTGCTCAACCAAGAAGAATAGATCCCAACCGTGTCCCATGCATACCAGAAAGTGTTTTAAAGAAAAGACAGATTGCTGCAGAGAAATCTGAAAGAAAACGCAAACTGGAGAGGGAAATAGAAGAAGAGATGGGAGACGATTATATACTCGATCTGAAAAAGAATTACGATATCGAGGGAGATGAAAAATACGACATCATACCAGAGATTTGGGAAGGTCATAATATAGCGGATTACATAGATCCTGAAATATTTGAAGTCAGTCTAAGCTTTATTTCATCAAGTTACATGAGTTGATAAATTGCAGTGATAAAACGTTTTCTTGTTTTTCAGAAATTGAATCAATTGGAGAGGGAAGAACATTTGAGAGAAGAAGCCGGTATGTACGATTACAAGGTACCTGAATTGTCAGAAACGATGCGCGAAATTAAACAGCTGGCGAAGCAGATTCGGGAGAAGAAGATTATCATGAAGGACGAGGCGCGGATAATGAAAGCTTCCACGAAGCCAGTTATGCCACGTACAGCTGCAGCCAAGGTCCGCGACCGATCGGTCGCGAAACTGAAGGGACAAATGGAAGATTTGGGTGTGGATATGGAAGATATTGAAAATGTAAGTATATAGAATTTATATAACATATATAGAATTCAATATTTCTAAATAAAATATTTATATATTACGTTATCCCAATTACTGTATATAATATTACATTGTTATCGATGTTATTGTTTAAGTATTTTCATATTATATACATAATATTATATAATACATATAATATATATTATTTATTATATTTTTCTTTTTATAGGCACACTTTAAACGAACGAGAGCACGATCCAGATCGCGTTCGGAACCTTCTAGAAAACGTATGCGCTTGGAGTCGGTGTCACAATCGCGTGCCCGTAGTATGTCAAGACCACCACGAGATGAAATGGGTGTTAAAGATGTAACGGTATGTTTAGAGATCTTTAAAATTTAATTGCACAGTATATGGATCCTATTCATATTTTTGAAAACTTCAAAAAATTAATCTAAAAATGAAAAAAATTCCAACTTATATGGATTAATTTAATTCAATTTTTTAAAATAGAATAATCATTCTTGAGTTTATTTTTTATTTTAATTATTTTCTGATTTATGTGAGTCTTGTTTATTAGTTTATCTATAAATAAAAATATAACATTATTTATTTTCATTATAGATGAAATCCAAATTGAAGAATATAGCACACAAGGCATTGAAGAAAAAGATAGCAAAGAAGGGTCTCAAAGGCGAAGCTGATCGTTTCATTGGAAATAAAATGCCGAAACACTTATTTTCTGGTAAAAGAGGAGTTGGCAAAACGGATAGAAGATAAAGTTAATTATTTTAATTTTACATACAAACAATTAATTTTCTTCTTATTCTCCTTTTATATTGTATAAAAACATTTAAGCACAAATAAAAATGTTATCAGTGCAGTTTTTAGTTCAGATACTGAATAAAAACATCGCTATTTTAAAACAATTGGATATTGAGAAATTTTCCACCTTTTTGTTTTGACAAGCATACTAATCGAATTTTATTCATAGATTATAATTCTATTATTTATCGTAAATTAAAAGTCGTCTAGCAATAATATCCAAGTGTGCATATAACATAGCGATAACAAATCATAAGTTATAAGTTACTTATATCGAAATAAAATAATACTTTATAATTGATTTATTTGTTCATTGTGTATCACTTTATACAGAATTTAGCGCAGTACCAGATCCATAAGTACGATCCCATTCAATATAAATATTCAGATCTGACTGAGACACACTAGGTCTTACGTTGGAATGAAATGGAATAAATTGAAATGTTTAACTCTTTTCTGTAGTATATTTATCTTTCGACTATTTTATAACAAGTTATTTTCAGATTCTCCTAATGACAAACTTTCCAAATACTCATGTACATCATAAGCCCTTCTCATCTCGAATGGACTCGGATTTGGCTGATTATTTCGTAGACTTGCAAGAAGAGCTAATAAAAAAATATCTAATAAATTATCGCGCAAGAACGACTTGTTAAACAAAAGATGCAATAGACTCAAAGCTAAATTATGGACAGTTACAGAAACACAGCCCGTCAAACTCGTCAAGCTCGAAAAGGTCGTCAAACTTTGGGAATGACTGTATATCAGTAATTGTGTATATATTGTTTAGCTTTGAACCTATTACATTATTGTTGAGCGATCCAGCGCTGCTGTGATAGCAGCCATCTGTGAAGACATGGACGTGCTGCGCGGAGTGTTTAACGCAGCCCGCTCTTGCGAAGTCCTCCCACCCTTGCCAAGGATTGTCTGTATAATAGTCTAAATCTTTAAGATCTGTATCGTCGAACATGAGGTGTGGTAATCGATTTAGGTCCGCTGACGGTTGTTGCTGCTGTTGAGCTTGCAGCTGTTGCTGTTCCATCCGTTTTTGTCGTTTCTTATCTATTTGATTCAACAATTTTTTTTAACAGAAAGCATACTCAACTTGAAAAAAATAGCATTGACTATCTATCAGAAGTGAAAAAACAAAAGTATATAAATAAATAATAAATAAAATAATAAATAAAATAATAAAATTAAAAATTAAAAAATAAGTAAAAAAATAAAATAAAATAGTATAATTTTAAGAGCAATTATATAAAAAAAGGTTTAAAGTAAAAAAAATTTGAAAATTGATTTTAAAAATTACAAAAAAAAATTAATAAAATATTCAGTCATTCAAATAACGTCACTTACTAAAATATTTTTGAATCTTGTACATCTTTTTAGCCACCAAATTATAATACTCCGATCGTGAATTAGCCATTTCATACATATCACCTTCCACTTTTCTTGCATACGCGACTAATTTGTGCATTCCTTTATCGAGCATGGCCTGAAGATTAGGAGCTGGAATAACTGCTTGTGCCCTAAGAAAAGATACAACGATTGTGTTATTACTTGCCAGAAGAAAAAACGAATTGCAAACAAAAACATGTATTATGTTATGAAATTCTTAGGATCGATATTTAATAATTTAATAAAACTTAGATTGAAAAAACTCTGCACAAAGCACATGTATGCATAGTTCAAACTTTGATGTAAGTTTAAATTATTATTCAAAATCTGGGCTTACAGTATATGAACAAGATAATTTCTGAGAGATGGTGTAACAGACACGTGCCACCCTTTTGTTCCGCCTTGCACTGGTGTCGCTGTAACTTGACCGGACTGAAGACCGCCTGGAAGCTGCAGATTAGGTAATCTATTCTCTCCACCAATTACGCTGGGTTGTCCGGATTCGCTTAATCCCAATAATGTTTGCATATTGACGGACTGCTGTATATTGGCAGCGGCCGCCGCCGCAGCAGACGTGGGTCCGGTAGCCGATACTGTCTGATTACCAGCTACCCCGACCGTACTAGGATCGGAATTTAAAGGAAGAGATACGTTCGGGGCGACCACTTGTTGCCCAGCACCGACTACGGACTGTCTCGGCGCAGCTGGAACACACACGAATGGCCATCGCATATTTCTTTTCACATCTATACAATAAATATTGTTTTTAAACAAATTTAAAAAAACGTAATATATAATCACTAAGTATATAATATATAATATTTTTACAAACATATACGTTTAAGGCTGCGTTCGTTTTGACGCTTTCAGTGCTATAAGCATCGTTTATCTTTGTTGCATTCTTCTTCGCGGTTTAAAGGGACTGTAAACCAGACTTGGCTTTGCCTTGCCGGCCATAAGTTTTGATTAGGTCCACAATGGATCAAAAAAGAAAAAAATTTTTCAAACGAAAACACGTCTGAACACGTGTCGACGGACGCCAACGGACTCTGTCTTGTTGCACATTGAATATGAAACAAAGACAGAAGATGCTTATAGCGCTGAAAGCGTCCAAAACGAACGCAGCCTAAATTTAATAGATTTTGCTTTAAAAAAAAAAAAAAAAAAAAAAATTGACAAATTTTTAAAAATATCGTCTAACTCACTCTGTGTTTCAGGTTGCGCTACTAATCTAACATTTCCCAGTGTACCTGGAGGACCTGACATTTTTCTTCTTTTTTGGCCAAGAATCACACTAATAATGACGCGCAATCCACGCTGCCAGAGCCAGAGAGGACCTGGCATACCAGGCGCTGGTATTCTAACGCCTCTACCAACGCCTTGGCCAGATATTCCCGGTGTTGTTGTGGACACTGAATTCCTAAAAGGTTTGTTCGCGTCGCATGCATCAGCTCTTTTACTTCAATGCGCTCGTATTGGTCCAATTCGAGGAGCGCACCAATACGGGCGCATTGGAGTAAGAAAGATCATGTTGGGGCATGCGACGCGAACAAAACTAAAGCGGGTCTACAATGAGTCGGTAGTCGGCAATCTTAAGTCGCAAAGACGTAAATTTAAGGTGCCTTTTCACGAGCCGCTGAAA